ATATAATTATATATATTATATATATATATAAATATATAAATATATATATATAGAGTTAATAAAATATCTAACGCATTATAACATAATTTCATTATTTAATGAAATTATTTTAATAATCAGAATGAAATGCAATTAGTTTATATTTATATTTAAAAGATTACAAAAAACAATTTAAAAACTTAATCAAAGCAGTAAGTAAATATGTATACAGCATATTAATATTTTTCTAAATCTTTATTTGAACAACAAAGCATAATTGAACATTTTATAAACGTAATATTATTTTGTTTAATGCATAATACATGTTTATTTATGCAGAATTGTAATTTTTTATAGACATGTATACCACGAAATATTCATTTTTTGGTATAATTCTTATTATAGCTAGATTAGTATTTTTATTGATTTAAATTTTAATTGTATAATATTATTTTAATTGCTCGAACAAATTGTAATAATTCTAAATAAATTTTTCATTTTTTTAAGTTAAAGCATGTTAAAATGGTGTTTTTGAAAAAATTTATATTCTATGTTGTATTTAAATTCGAACAAATCTAACAATTGCGCGTAATGAATTAAAATAGTTAATTAAATTTTGATTTAAAAAGTTTTTTTTGAAATTGAAATTAACTTCATTTAAAGTACAAATTAATTTTGTTTCAAAGACACTATTTTTCATAATATTAATCATAAAATCAAATCACATTTAAAAATTTTGAACTTTGATTTGCAAATTAATAAATTTTTTAGATTTAAGAAAAAATTTACATCAATTTTTAACGTTTAAAATAATTAAAAAAAATTTTTTGAAACATCACAAAGATATATGTTTATTGTAATTAAGAAGAAAAAAAATATTTAAAAAAGAAACGAACATTGTCCTTACTATGTTATAATTATTTTATAATTAAATCTAGTTGATTTTTTTAACTTTAGCTATTTTTTAAAGAATATGTATAATTAAAGTATTGTGATTGACATAAAGATAAATAATAATCATATATGTATTCAATAATCATATATGTATTTCTTATATATAATATTTAAAGTAATGTATTTATGTTTTATTTATGATATAAAATATTAGCGGTCATATGTAAAATATTTTAATTTTGATAGTAAATGTAATTTTAAGGATGAATAGATGGCTTTAAAAAAAACACAAAAACCTGTAAGCTCCATATCATTTGCGTAAAATTTAAAAATTGATATCTAAATATTTGATTTCGCTTTTATATCAATATTACATATTACATTAATTCCTATATATACTTGCTTCGTTTCTATAATCGTAATTCTATTTTTCTAGGTAGAACGTAGAATGATATTTATAAATTAAGCGTTTTACGTATTACGTTTATGTTGCTTAACAGGTATTGTGTAATTAAGATTCTAATTTTAAGATATAGTTATAATTATAAATTTTATAGTTAAAATTATAAATTTAATAGTTATGTTTAAGTAATATCTAATTGTAGAAAAATATTAACGCATTAAGTTCCTTGTATTTCTTATATATTTTGATTTTTGTAAGTATGATTATTTTCTATATATTATTACTTCAGCAGCAAGTCAAAAAATATAAGAATCAGAGTTGGCATTTTCAAAATATAGCAAAGATACACATGTATTAAAAAGTTTGATAATTTTTTATGAATTTCTTGTTTATATATAACTATAGTTAAAATAGAAAAATTAAACAATTATACTTAAAGAAGTAATAATATAAAATAGAATATATATGCGTGTTCATGAGACATAATTTATTATAATACACTTAATTATGTTTATTTACGACTAATTTAATTTAAATACAAGAAATATCTTATTATACAATTTCTGTAATTTATTATATTTTTATCCTTCGAATTGAAAAGTCACATTTGTATATATAAAAATTAATAAAATAAACAGTTGAAGCAAAAATATAAAAATGCATTCGTTCATTAATTAATATAACTAATTGGTATCATGTTAGAATTTAAATACTGAAATATTGTATCAAACTTTTCCTTCATGATCCATGAACTGGTTGAATTAGAGAAAGCGTAAATTTTATATTAAAATAATATCATGAAACTGTATGATTAAGAAATATTAAAACATAATTAAAAATATTCTATTTTCATTTAGGAAATAAAAATTTAATGATTTATTATTACTTGAAATAATAGATGATGTATCTGTAAATATTACAAAGGCTATTTTACAATTTAATATACTCAATTAATGTAATTAAATATTTTCTAATAGAAGTTTTTAAATGTTTTTGGATATATTTAATAATATATTCATCATAATGTATAGAATATTTATTTGCTGTATTATAGTTATAATTATATTTCATATTCTTTATGTAATTAAAGTGTTATAATCGGAACCATTTTATTCACTAAACATACTAATATACTACATGTACCATAATATATATTTTTACAATTGAAGATACTAGAATTGAATAAAAAAATATAATAAAATTAATATAAAACAATTATTTATTAATCAAAGAAAATGTATACAGTGTTACATTATTGCGTTTGTAGTTTGCAGCGCTTATCAAATTTGCGAAAAAATCCAATTAGACAAATTTAATTTGAATAATAATTCTAGATATTTTTCACGAATAAGAATATTAAGCATAGGTCGTAATAATTACATTATCCGTTCCAATCGAAAATGACGTGAGCGATCATTAAGTACATGGTTATTGTCACAGCACTTGTCAGCATAATTGGAAACCCCACCCTGGAACGAACACATTGAAAATTATTTGTCGAATTAATTAAATTATTATAACACGAAGAATGAATTAGCGAGAAGCTCTTGTGAAAATGAGCTTAATTTATTCGCGATTTATTATTCGATCTGAATTCAAAATTTCTCACTGATTATATACCATATTTGATATAATATTGGATTAGTTAATAGTTATTTTATACAATTGCGCGATTTATTATCGTCTGTCGTGAAATTAAAATTTTCATCCGAAAATCATTTGACAATATAATAATAAGAAATACTATATATTATATTAAATTATAATAGGTATATGGTATATGAACATGCTGGCAAAACAAGCAAGTTTTCGGACATGAGAGAATAATGTTTAAGTATTGTAAAATTGTTTCAAAATTACATATATTATTAATATCATTATCGCATGTATTTATTGGAAAAAAAATGTAATAAAAGAAGATACAACTAAGTTTCCTGAAAACTTAATGTTTTTAAAAAATAAAAGATTTAATTCATCTTTTTGAATTGTATTTTATTTAAAATCGAGAATGTGCATTAATAATTTCACTTTAAATAGTCTTCATTAAAAATGATTAAATTTAAATTAAATTTCTCCTTCATTTAAATAGAAACTGTATAGAAGTACACTTACTTGAAAAATTGTATAAAAGAGATTTTATATCCATGTTGCTCCGCAACTCCTACGCAAACTACGTTAGCAGTAGCTCCAATCAAAGTTCCATTTCCTGCAAATAGATCCATCCATTCAACTACATAAATCACACTAAAAATGGTTTCTATTAAGCCTTTAATGTGGCGAAAAATATAACTGTTGGAACATTCTATCGTTACAGTCGATGAGTCAATTTCGTACTAATGGAAAGATAAATAATATAGTTTCATTAAAAAAAAAATTTCAGTTATTCTTCAAATATTAATATTGATTTCTCAATAGTGATAAAATTATTCCAAATAGAATATATTAGATATTTCAATAAATATATTAGATAATTAAATTGCAAATGTTTAGAGAAATTTTTATTTTACTATACTTTGAATATTGCTATTACTATATTTTATATAATTTTCCATACCGTATGCTGTGCATTTTTACACCTTTAAGCTGCTCATAAATATGCAACATTTGCAGTCTGATATAAATTATACTGTCGGATGCAAGAAGGGCTTCAAGACGTTCAAGCTTTTTCCAAGTGCAAATATTAGTATTCTGCATTAAAAAAACATAATTCAAATTATATCAATGAATATTGCAATAATTTCATTACGCATAAGAAATATTTGATTATTTCAAATGTAATTGATTTTTATCACTGAGGCCCTTCTTGCATCTACCGACACAATTCTAACAGAATATAATCGTAATAATATATATTTCTATTAGTTTTAAAAATAATTAATAGTGTTAAATAGATTATCCTTACCTCCCATACAAGCGCCGAAAGCTAAAGCCCATACCAAAGGCTGCAACGGTAGTTTCAGTTCATTATTTTGTGCTAAAGCAGTAACGATTCTTATCATCATGGTTGACAAAGGCACATTATCCACAAATGCACTTGCGAATGCCGACACCCATAGAAGCAGTAATATCGCTACTGCTAATCGCGACTCCTCGTTCACAGACAGGATTATTTTTTCCGTTTGTTTTCCTATCCAAGCGATTAAACCCAAACGTGATAAAGCCTGTATAAAAAATTTTATTATGTTTTCAAATAGTTAGTATAAACATTAATATAAATATTACAAATACAGTTTCTATAAAAATAATTAAAAAATTGTTTTTAAGTAAGTTCTTTTTTATTTTTGTTACAACTTTTTACTAATACGATAGCAAATGTAAAGAACTGATGAAAGAATTAATTGAAGGTAATAATAATAACAGTTATGTTTCGTACCTCCATGAGAATAAACAACGAAGCGAAAAACAATAAAGTGCTCCATTCTACACGCGCCATGAGACCATCCAGATCTTCGCTATCAGCTAAAATTAACAGTAAAAGAACACCTAATAAAGCTGTCCAACCCAGTGATAAATGCAGATTTGGAAAACTATGTAGAAAGAATAGCGCGATCACAAAGATTAACGTGAATCCAGACTTCACTAATAACCATTTGTCTCGAATAGGATACTGCAACATAAAATGAAAATAATATTACTGAATTGAATTGTTCAAATTATAATATTACTAGATAACAAAAATAAAATAGAAAGATATAATTTAATATTTATTTACTTTTTCTTGAAGTTCCTCGAGCGTAGTTTTATATCTTTCGAACGTGACACTGCCTGTCATTAGCTTCTTTTTTAATAGAGAGAGTAATCGTTGAACTTTTTTTAGCAAAGTTTCTCTCACTACATTTTCGTCTTTGCTATAACTCGACAAACTTGCCGCAGCTCGTTGCCAAATGGCAATTTCATGCCTTAATTCCTAAAAATATGATGGGATAAAAAACCTTGCTAGATACTTCTGACGTGTTTTAATCGACGTGTAAACTTTTATATAGATTTCTATGTTCAGCTAATTTTGATTAAATATAATAATCTTTATTTTTATTTTTCAACGAAATATTATAATTCAATTATTTCGAACAAAATCTTTGTACCTGTACATCTGGTGGCTCGGCGAATTTAAGAACTTTTATGTCTCGAAAGATAAATTTCAACTGAGCGAAGACTATAAATATTACCAGTACAACACCAATGCTCATATGTATCGTGAATGTACTAAAATCGATACCCTACAATTAACAATATTACATGTATAATTATATATATATGAATAATAATTGAAAAATATTAAGCCCTTGATACTATTAATTCAAATTCGATACATTTTATTCTTCGTAGTATTGATTAAATTATCAAAACTAAAAATAATAAATAAATAAAGTAAATAATTGAACGTTATAACCAAATATAATATATTTATAAATATGATGAGTTTCATATTTCTTTTTATAAATATAATATCAATGCTATCAAAAAGCATTAATATAAATAAAAAAAAGATTACCAATATTGATATTGATTAATATAATTTGTATACGTTTAAAATTACTTATAAAAATTTTATTTTAATTCAGGTACCAGACTGATTTAATTTAATCCTTAATGAAATATTTGTATGAATCAGTATCCGAAGTAATACTCACATTATTAATAACATCGCGATTCGATGCAATAATTACATTGGGTGGATCTCCTACTGGCGTCAGAGCACCCCCGATATTAGAATAAATCACCATGGCAGTCAATATTGGTACCGGATTTATTTCCATTACTTCGCATAATCTGATAGTTACCGGTGTCATTAACAGTACTGTTGTAACATTATCTAAGAATGATGAAATGAATGTTGTAAAGAAACATAGTGTACCTATGAGTGGCCATAACTTTCCTGCAGTTATCTAGAGAAATTATTAAAAAATAAATTATTAACCATTATAAAAATTAAATTTTAAATCACTAGAAGGCTTTTCGGGGTGAATGAAAATTTACTTGGAAAAATTGACGAGTGAAATTTCGTTCAGGTTGTGAAAGAATTAGACTGTCTATGGAGGGTTAAATTTTTAGTTTTGAAATATAAATATATATCAGGGAATAATAATAAAGATGTGCAAATTACAAACCTTATAAGCATAGACTGCTAGCCAGTCAAATATACCAGTTTCAGCGATTATACCGACAAGTATCATCATTGAGAATAATAATAGTAATGTATCGACATCTATCCAAGACATTAATTCATTCATAGTTGGTCTCTGAAAAATTATTCTATTTATGATTTGACTGCAAACAACAAGTGAAAATTCTTCATGCTTTCTTGCCAAGTTTTCCTAATAATTTTATTTTATTCTAGATTACCTCATTTAAAACTGCTAATATTGCGATAGACATAGTTGAAGCTAACATAGCTGCTAAAGTCCTATGTACAACCTATAATTCAAATTACATTAAAAATTAAATTAAATTAAAATACATTGAAACTACATAAATGATAAATTAAAATAAATTATCGTGAATTAAGATTGAATATTCAGAAGCTTAATTACCTCGAATATTATAAGTATATATAATCCAAATAAAATTATCGCAGCATACACTATGCCATCATCTTTGTTCACTGACGATATATCATAACTAATAGATATAGCAAAACTAGATTCGAGATTTGTTTTTAATTTAATTATTACGTTGGCGTTTTCTAAAGTACTGTAAAATAAAATGTTTATATAATATTCAGAACCATCTAGTAACATTGAATATTATTAAATTTGATAAGCTACAGAAAGAAATTTTGACAGTAAAGAATACAAGTAGTAATTTTAGTAGAGAATACAAGTAGTAATTAAAGTACAAAAAAAGAAAATAAATCATACGTACTCTTTATTGATATTTAAATTAAAACTTTTTTGATGCCTTTGTCCAGGAAAAATATCTATCAGATTTTCCGGAAGTATTGGTAAAACCCATATATCAGTTATATTCTACATACATGAAAAATTGTGAATTAGAATGAGTTAGTTTCTTTCCTTAATTATAATATATGTATAATTTAAAAAACTTTCTTTTTTTTACGAACTTATAAAGACAAATATGAAATTTTTATTTTAAGAACAACTGTATTTCTGAATAAAATAAAAAAGGATTTTCTGCATTAAAAATATGATAATTAGTTTAGATGTATTTACCTTAATTTGTTCAGATCTAAATGAAAATTGTTTAGTATTATTAGCCCCATTAACTAATAGTTCTAACCATATCATTAAATATTTATCAGATACATTTTCATACTTTTTTGGTTTTATTGGTGGAAGTAATGATCCTTCTACCATTAAATTGACATGTTTATCAGAAACTTCACCGAACATTTTGTAATCTACAAATATTAAAAGATTAATTTAATAGTGGTAATCATTGTTCAATATTCGATTAATATGAAAGTGTAATCTATTTAATATTTTGAAAAATCGTGTTTTAACCATTCAGATAATTAACTAAAATTATAAAGGATACTTTTTATTTGTCCACTAGGTATTGAAATTTGATGTAATTCTTCAATTTTTTCGCTCTTGATCATCAGTATTAGCTAGAAAGTAAAAACACAATAAACATATATTTTTTTTAGTATATAAAATATTATGTAATTAATAATATTTTTCTTTTCTTTAACATTTTTGTATTCCAAACTACGCATTCACTGTTAAAATTAAAATTTACTTTTGGAACTGATTACTTCGTCTTCAAGACAAAACTTGAACAACTATTGTTTAATATATAATCTGTATGATTGTAATACATAATCTGTATGATTACTTACGGTAAATATTAGCCAGAAGCAACATAATAAAATTAATTTGATGTAACGATAAATAAGCCTTTGTTTCGTTTCCTGGGTCTCTTGTGTAATAGATGTATCTTGTTTATCCTCATCATCATTTTTATTTTGTTTTCTACGTAGAAACATTAAATAAAAATAATATTGAATTGTTTATATACAACATTCTAACAATGTAACAATATACTAATTTATAAGGCTTGCATTCCAATTCTGATATACATAGAGAACGTAATAAAAATATTGATGTATTTCTATCAATTTCAAAAAACCAAATTCTAAGGTGTATACGCACAATAGAAAAGCAGAGGAAATATTATATTATTTTATAAAGATGTTTATCCATGTTTTATTATAGAGGAATAAAAATATAAATAAAAATAATTCAGTGAATATTTTACATTGGGCATCTTTAAATTTACCATATACATATGCACATTTTATTTAAAAAAATTTAACCAGAACGTACTAAAGTATTATATTTTATAACTTTAATTTAAACGTCGAAGAAAAGATCTCGTGTCACTTGCCTCTGTAGCAATGCAGGCTGTGTCCCAAGAGACATATTTACTACCAAACAGTCTTTCTTTACTCCATCTGAAGATCTGAAGGAATAGGCATCATTCGATATGTTCAAAACAAGCTTTTAAAATAAACCAATTAAACATTTTTGAAAATTACGAAGAGAGTTAAAAAGGGTAGTTTAATCTTTGAAATCATGGTGGACCTAGTCGTGAAAAAAACAAATGTTCCAACGTATTCTGAAGTTTTACAATTTTCAAAAATAAAAGTATTTTTATTTTCCTACTCGATAATGTAAAAAAAAAACAGTTTTGTTAAAATAGAGTGCTCTATGGGACCAAGTGGACTGATATATGACTTTTCTTTACGAAGTTATAGCAATTTTTCTTCGTTCGTCTTAACAGTCGTGCCTCATTACAATGAAATTTCAAAATGTTTCCTATTATTTATATAATAAGTTTTTAAGAAGTTTCTATAAATATTTAAATATCTTCGTGAATTGTTGTGTATAGAACTAGAAATACGAGAACTATTGTATACATAACTAGGAAATAGAACTGGCCCTTCATTGCTGCAACCTTTTCAATTATCAATTTGCTAAAATATATGTTTATAAAGGTATTAAAAATGGAGAAGAGTGACGCATATTATCATTCAATAATCAAAACATAGCCAACTGTTAATGGAACGTATGTCTTGCGGGTGCATTTTAATGCGTTGTTAATGGAACGTGTTGTTTATGTCTGCGTTTTAATGCGTTATTAATGGAACATGTTTTTTAATGGCCGTGGTAGCTTTTTTTTTCGTGTTATTCTTCCTATATAGGATACGTTTAAGAATTATCTCAACCTTCCTTCCGCAATTTGAACAACTCGATCATATTCCCTCTGAAAAACAGCCAGACTAGGATCTAAACGTATTGCTTCTGGTAACTGACACCAAACACGGAGTACCTCTTCTGGGATTTGACCGAGTATTATCGAACTCGAAATTGATGATGGAGTTCCTGTAACGAATAAATTTTCAAAGATCGTGATGATGCGTGTTATTGATTATTACTACGTAAGCCGTGAAAATGAAAATTAATTTGGGTCAAATTAGAATTTCGTCGGCAAACTCGAGAATTTCCTTACGAATAAAGATAAAAAGGAAAAGATAAAAGGTTCTGAAGAAGGAAAAAAAAATGATAGGAACGAAGATTGGAAATTAAATTGATGTCTTTTGGTCTGTGAATATGCGGAGATTATTATGGAAAAGAGAAAGTTTTAAATTAAATTAACAAAAAAATTATTCAGGGTGTTTTTAACGTACGAACATGTGGATATTATTATAATGGAGCGAAGACTTTATTAAATCAAATTGACAAAAATAATTAATTATGACATTCTCAATATATAAATGTGTGGATATAATGAAGCGAAGATCAAAAAATTAAACTGACAAAAAAAAATTATTCATGTTGATTTTAGTGTACAGATAAATGTAGCTACTGTATTTTACAAACCCGGTGTACGATTGCATCGAGATCCTTTCCTAAGGAACGACGGCGTCTGTAATCCTGTCTCATCCTCGCTTGTTTCTTCTTGAGACATTGTGATGGTAATAATATATCCAATTGCTGATCAAAACAATATGCTATTGTATTAAAATATGATAGATCTGTAGATCTAGACATTATTAGACATTATCAGTATTTAATAAAATTATCAATGTTAATATTTAATATTGGAACATTTGATACAGCATCTATAAACGTATTATATACGTTGGTACAACTATTACAACGTAGAATAATAATTAACTTAACAATTTTAGAGCCTACGGCAGTGAAAAATGTCATTTACGTGAAATATAAAGAATACTTGAAATTATGGAATTATTATAATAAAAGAGATATAAAATCTTTTATCTAAATGAAACAAGTGAGAACATGGTTTAGAATTATTAAATTTGAATGTTCATATTAATCGTTCACTTTGTTTTAATCAAACGAGAGAAATGATAGAAATCAATGTAACGTTGAACTTTATCAATGTTAATCACGATACATTCGAAGGAAACATGAACAAAACGATTCCTTACGATTAGTGGAAAATATCACTCACAAAGGATTAAAATAATCCTGGGCGACACAGATGAATTTTCACAAAATACGATACATTTTAGATGAAATCCGCACTATCTACGTAAGAACATGAAACTATTCTGGTATGTACGATTCAAAATATGTTGTTCTTGTTGAGGGTCATATTCAATGTTTACGTGTTTACATGCGCAATATACGTAAGTATCTACATGTACGTAATATATTATAATAATATTCAATACGAGCTCATTAAACTTTTCGACGTAAAAATGTGTTTAGTACTTCAATTGGATTAACAAACCACAAAATTGCGTTGAATGTTTATTTTTATTAAAACTTGCAATTCTATTGCGAGTATTTTATAAATGATAATTTACAATAATAATTGTTTCAATGGTAGGCGATTTTTAAGAATGAGGCAAGTACAGCGACGTGAAGAAGTATTCCGAGATACTGTAAAACGCATACTTTTAAGGAAACTGGCTGAGATGTCCTTGACTTTATTCTAATTCTGGCATTACTGGAAAATTGGGAAAAAAGAAAAATCGGAATATAATATATATTGATCGAACGGTATTAGAAGATAAAAAGTTATTTGATTTATGTTTGTCTCGAAATAATGCACATAAAGTAAACAAAATTTTGTTGATTTATACTACTGAAAAATAAAAAAAGGAAATTTTTATGTGGAATAATATTCACATTTTTAAAAAATAAAATTATTTATAATTAATTAATAATATTTTAAATATAGTACTTTATTGTTTATTATTTTAACATTTTAATCTTTCGTAGGCAAGTATAATACCTATCGCGCTTTTCATAGGAAACTAAAGTCGTTCACGTAATATTTTTTGTTTATTTTGTTTTACGCTTTAGAAGAATATGAAAAAGTATTGAGTTACTTTAACAATGTCTTGAACTATGTGATACAATCAATTTTTAAGTTAAATTTTCATAAGATATTTTTGAAAAGATTAAAAAATTTACTTCAAAGAAAAATTCATCAGTAAAATTTGCCTCAGATCGTGTAAGCGTCTCAGATTATGCTTAAATTAATATTTCAAATTTAAAATATTTTAGAAACATTTTAGTACTTTTAGTATTAAATAAATAAAAACATCGTGCTAATTATTATAGTACAATATTGTGTACAAATCGTTTGTGATGTCTATTTTAGAATGTATATTTGTACAACTTAAAAATAAGTACTCAATATTAGACATTTCAGAGAAAGAAAGTGCTTGAGGCCTGATTCGCCATAAAATTTCGTAAGCGGTGTTTTCACCAACTTGAATCGCACCATCAATCGTTCCTGGCCAATTGGCAGCGTATTCGCTCGAAGCGAAGAAAATTCTTGCAAAATAGAAGAGGATTGTGAAATTATAAAAAATACATTCTTCAATTGTCAAGATTAATATTAACTTTACGCACAATTATATAGTAATTAAATTACTCCTGATAATATTTTGCAATATTTTACAGGAATAGTGAACGAAATATAAATTCGATTTTGGATTGAAAACATACAAGTACATACAAAATAGATGCAGACATCTATATATAATTCAGTTTTTATCACCAAATCGATGAACTTAGAATTTTAATGGTAACATTTCATTTTTGGATCTTAGTTATTTCCTATAACCGAAATTATATTGATAATTCGGTTTTTTTTTTGCCAATTAAAACGAACATGTTTCATCTTTCAGATGGTTAAAAATATTTTCGTACCTTTCATAAGAAGCTTCTGTATGATTGGTGAAATTCATAATGGAGACGGGTTTCAAAACACTCATAGGGCAACCGGGATTTATTTCATCGCTTATCAGTGATTGGTCGTACTCTTTGTATCGTAAGATTGTTGATGGTTCGAAAGTTTCGTAACAATCATACAACGTGGCAAGTAGCCCTTTCTTGTGCGCCTGCGTAAGATTAGGTTCGGCAAGAAAACCGGCGAGCACAAGTTCTTTCGTGTTACCATGAGTTGCGTCGTAAATGATGTTTAAATTATTACTGGAGTCCCAAGTGGTTACGATGTCTCTCACGGAATTAGAACTTGAGGACGGTTTCTTGTAAACCAAGTTGAAAAACACATTTTCAGCTGGTGCGTACAATGTTTCAATATTTGTCGGAGAGACAGACGGTTCGATAATGATAGTGTTCTGCACCGATGGAGGCACTGCTACGACTACTAATTCGCATCTACGAAACATAGATCAGTAAGTAACTTCTATTTTTGGAATTTGTATTTTTATGGACACGATTGAAGAAATAGAATTGAAACGAAGGTTAAATGAAAAATTACGACGTATCTTGCGATATTAAAAATTACATGAAATTACATGAAACGTGTACCTGAAGTAATTTTTCTCCGTCGATACATAAGCTCGATCATCATTAAGCGTAACCTTATTAACTGGCTCTACATATCTTATTTCCCCGTCCTGTTGTAAAATATATTTCAACAATGTTTGTGTAATCTTAGACATACCGTCCTACAAAAACATAATATAATATTAAATGCAATTAACTGAAATAAGATCTTGACGTTTAATTTTGTTTAAATATAGTAGATATGTATAATATTTCATATTCACGAAATCATGAGATTATGGTTATGGATATGATGTATACTTGTACGAAATAGCGATTACTGTCACCAATCATGATTTTTAATCGATTTACAAGACCCGATGCTCCATTCAGCATGACAAGGAACCAAAGTGCTGAGATGTCGTTGAGATTTCGCACAGCTGTGAAAAATTTTAAACAGTTATTAATTCATCCATTCTGATTTGTTTTTATTAATTTTTCTTCTAAACTATTATTTGTTTTATCATTATTTAATACTGTACATATTTCACTAATATTAATTTTGTTCTACTTTTATTTGCTTTACTATTTCGAAAAATATGAAAATTATTTAAAGAATGTAAGAATAGTTCTTAAAATATTTAACATAGAAGATATTTTAATATACATCTATAAAATCAATATTTTAATATAAATAGATCTTTTTTTTATATATATATAAAAGATATATATATATACGTGTCTATAAAATAAAAAAATAAAATTGTTTAACAGTTCTTGTAAAAAGATTTAAATAAATTTACCGCATGTACTGCAAATATATGCTCGACATAGTGACCGTGCATACGAGAAATAAACGATTTTACGTAGTAATTGTTCAACGCTTGTTTCAGCAAGATACTTCGCTTCTTCGTACCCCGCATAATTACAAAATTCAAGGTTTAATGCATTCTCTTCGATCTATGTGATAAAATGCATAGCAAATTTTCACGTTAGCAAAACCATAAGATAAAGTACTTTGCTTATTTTTATCAGGAGACAGAGTACATGACGCCGAATATCGAATATTTAAATCGTTCAATATTTTAAATATTTACAAATTGCTTATTTCTAATAATAGATAATCTATATTATAATGCCACATTTTTAATAATAACAAACAAATAATTTAATTGCTTAATATTTTTGAAATTCTTTATAATGATATGTATTGATATTCATTTAAGTAATGAATGTAACATATATTACCCTCTGAAAAAAATTGTAAACCTCAGCTCCATAGAATTTAGGCAAGATTTGTAAAGCTGCATTATTCGCGTACACTATTCTTTGTCTCGTCTCGGCATTAGATACTCGATCAATGTTTATATTTAACTTTGTCACTAGATCAGTTACATGCTTTTGCAAAGAATTAGCGTGATAGGTATTGTTAAAGCTACTCTGTAATATACGACCTCCTACTTCACCTGATTTTAAATACGCATCATAAGTATATTTTTAATAATGATCATACTGCTATAAAAAGATATGGCCTTGAAATAAAAGCTTTTCTAGAAAGAATAATTTGCATATTTTTAACTCTTGAGAGGTGAGATAAAAATTCACCACATTTTGTTTCGATATTATTGTTATATTCTTATCGAAATTTTAGTAGTTGTGACCATTATAAATAATAATCGTGTTTCTAGTCTCTAACTTTATTAACTTTATTAATTTTTTAATTTGGAAAAGTATTATTATGAACACATTCAATCGTTTCTTTAATGATGAAATAGCTTGATAAAAATTTCACAGACATTTCAAATACAAAATCAAGTTAGTTTAGAATTGAAATAGTATCGAGTATTAGAATATAGCATGTAATTTTTAATATTTCAAGAAAATTATTTACTATTTGCCTCGATGATTAATACATCTAACCCAATTTGTTTTTTCAAAATATGATACGCGCATGTAAGGCCAGATAAACCTGCTCCTATAATTATAATATCATAATCGTTCTCGTCTTGTTTAACAAATTCCTCATCGGCAAAATCAGCAGCCATATACCCTGTATTATTATTTCGATATTTATGGTTGTCCCAATCGAGCTACGTTAAAAATCTGTCGATAATCTTCGCCATCCTATTCGAAGTTAGCTGCTTAAATAAAGAAGAAGCATTTCGTGAATTTAATGCAATTGCTGGTTTCATTTATATTATAACCACTCGAAGTTGGTTACAATATACACGTCTCTATTCTGGTATTTTTGATCTCAGAATCTGAATCCTATTATAAGATTAATGGAATTCAGTTAATTACGATACTAACATTCGATTAAGGCAATTATTAGATTACAATCAATACGTAGAGCTTTAGTTACATTGAAGAATACATAATAATTAATTTCTAACTGAGACTAAACGAAACTAAGAGGCCAACAAATTTTATAACCTACTTGCTGAAAATCTAGTTTCGTTACAAGATACAAGCAAAAAGTAATGAGATAAATGAAAAACGACGAACCATTAAGATGTTTATCTTAATAATTATATCTTTAATTCAATTTCATCGATTTGATATCAAAATATTTCCTTTTCCTAAAAATTGAAGAAAGTCAAACATAAAATGAAAATCAAAAATATTAGCTGATATAATATTAAAGATATTAAAATATTGTTATAATTCATTTTAACAATTGTATCTTTGACTGAACCCAACCCGGGTCTTCTTCATTTTCACTTCTACTTTTATATTAAAAGTATTCCCTTTTAATTTCAAATGGATCTCGAAACCAAAACATCAGCAAATGTGTACACACTTATCAGATTTCGCTTCTACGATCTTCAGTCGTTCCCAATAGCGTTACCATCAACGTAAGCAACGTAAGTAATGGACATCGGATTTCTCCCCATCCGTTACCTGACAATTTCATCACGCCGGTAAAATGACACGAACTTTCACGTACAAATTCCAATACGCAACAGCTCAAAAATAACGGTCGCCGTCGTCTCGAAGCAGTCAGTCCCTTGATAATTCAAGCAACTTTTAACTGCAACCTTTATAACTCCCGCGATGGCCACCTCCTTCGCCCAGCCGCCTCTCTGCGTTCTTCCTCCTTCCGGTTCGTCCTAGAAGCGTTACTTTCTTCCGCCCCCTTTACGACTGGTCTACTCTCTCTTTACGGAGCTGTACGTCTTAAATAATTGATCCTAACGTAGTTGCCGGTGTTTTTATAACTGTTTTACCGCCCGCTGTTGCCCGCTGTGATATACATTATTTAGCCGTCGGTTTTTAAACTTAAGTCCCTGGGCATGGAGGTGTGAAAACACTCGAACAACTATCGGGGATGCGTCTCTTTGCTTCTTTGATAAAAGTATACGGTCCCGGGCTTCGTTAGTCCCCCTCGTTGGCTTGACACGTCGTAAACGTAGCACGGCTTTCTTTCAATAAACCGGCAATTAGATATTCACTATTCTTATTTCACTTCTCGTTGCTCTTCCCCCGAGGTCAAGTTCCCGAGTTTTTCGGTTTTTCTTTCTATTTCTTTGCTACTAGTGCCGTGTGCTGCAGCTATCTGCTGAATTCTTTCAACAGGTTAACTAGGTGATTTTTTTATCAACAAAGAATTTTATAATCGCAGGACTGGTAATCAATTAAGGTAAGTTAACTTTAGTTTCTGCGATTAAATTTATTGTGTTAGCATGCTTATTAGGAACAATGTATGTTGTGCGAATTTCTATGCATTTCTAAATGTAAATTTTTAATGTGGAATCTAAATGGAGATTTGTTTTATTTATTGTGATTTCATGTAAAGGTTTTATAATTACAAATATCAATTTTATTACTGCATAGAATTTAGTTTCACAATGGCCAAAATATATCGAATCTGGTAAACTATAATTTCATGTCTGGTACACATTATGAAATTTTAGAAATTTGAACTTAACTTTTAATTTAATATTACTAATATTAGTCCGTATCAGATGTCCAATATCCAATATAAATTATCATACTATAATAATAACGATATTCCTGTATTTGAGAGTTAATACCTGTATTTATATTCAATCGCCTGACATATTTAAAAAATTTTTTTCAAAATCTAAGAAACCTTTATCGGAGACGAAGGCAGAGACTCCGGGGGATGCAGCTATTTGGTCGCGCGCGCCACCACTTCCGGCAAGAATGAACTTTCCGAATGCTGAATGGAGCATCGTTCTCTTCTGGAAAGCACTTTGACAGAGCCCCACGGGTACATTACTAGGATTGCCGCCACCAATTGAACTCCCCCGACTCGCCGTTCAACCGGGGCCACCGCTCCCTTATGTCTGCAAACAGAGCCGCCCGAGGCGACACACCGTCGTTCGCTCGATTCTGAAACAGCCAATCGCTCGATTCTGAAACGATGAAGCAACTCGCTGATTCTCCATTGTTAACGATATTTGACTTAGCTGCGCGTTGGCCGCGCGCTGATCTGCATAATAGGCATTAAACCCGGAAGGATTCGAACTTCAACGCCGAACCGGATAAGTTTTCATGCCGAAGCCAACCAGACCTCCTGATTAAGTCTCCTCGCGCGAAACTTCGCGACGCTCGTTGTTACTTAGCTCTACTAGGAAAGAAACTGATTAGGTATTCGAATGGCAGGGAAGCACCGGGGGGGGGCGGGTGGACAGGAGGGGGAAGGGGAACTTTGAAACTTTCTTTGACAGAGCACGCGGTTCTCCTCGGCTGAACTTGTGACAGTAACCGGATTGATTGTTATATTCGCTTCAGCGAGGAAAATCGATTTCTGACGGTCACTCGATGTCGGGGATTGTATCAGAGGATGATAAAGCTTTACTTCCCGTTTTATTGGGTTTGGGAAAATTTTTATTTCTATTTTTTACTTGTAGAATTTGATTTTTTTATTCTTGCATCTTTTCTATGAATTTTCCTTCCTCGTTCCTTCCTACATTTTGTTTTCCATTTCCATTAAGAATTTAATTGTTTATTCCATTCTACGTTCTTTCTTTATTAGAGACAAAATATTTGTCTTTATATTCTATACAACAGCATTTTATGGTTACAGTTGGCCCTCTGTTCTTGCATTTTTGGCACGAATCTGGGAAATGTAATCGTCTCAAAAATAAGTGGATTCAACTGGCGGATGTTCGCTTAACAGGGGACTGACTGTAGAATTTCGTCCGTACGAATGGAACTCGTTCTAGAAGCAAAGTTCTACTGTACGTCTAGCTTGTTCCTAAATTGTCCGCACAGCCTGTGAAACGTCGAAAGC